CCTTTGACATGTGAGAACCTTTTAGGGGGGCACATCATATCTAAACTCCAATATCATCTCTATTCCTATCCCTGCTTCCTCTCCATGCTGTTTCCCAGTCAGTCTACATGGTACCCAGACAGCGGCTGCTGCCCCTGAGCCTTTCTATTCAGATGCTGCAAAAAGATCTCCATTGGTCAGGTTCATGGGTGAAGCATCCAATCAGCTATGTCCAAGGAATGAAGAGTTAGATGGTGTCGATATGGGAGCAGGGGCCACCCAAACCCCTGTTTGTGGGATGGAAGGATTCTGAGCCAGGAGGGGGAGCTGGTGGTTCAGGCCAATTGCTGGTGATCTCTGCAGTGAGAACTACCCACGGTGGTTTGAATGAGAATGCCCCCAAGCCCCATAGGCTCATAAGTTTGAATCTTATGATTCTTGGTCCCAAGTTGGTGGAACTGTTTGAGAAGGATTAGGAGGTGTGCCACTAGGAGTGGGCCTCCCTTTATCTCCAGTATGCTTTCTATGCTGGTTCTGACTCCAGGAATCTTCCCCCTACACTCCCAGTTTAGCCTGGGATGTGGAACCTGGAAGGAGAGCTAGAACTTACCATGTCCAGCATGATCCAGGAATGCTTTTTGACACTGATACTTCTCAAAGGGCTCCTTGGTCTTGGTCTGGCAAGTTCAAGAAACTCTATTGATGAGGCCTTTCTCTTAGGGAATCACAAAACTCAGCTGCTTGTTGAAGGTCCTGGCAAGTCCTGCAGGAAAAAAAACAAAACAAAACAAACAAACAAACAAAAACTTGTGGAGCTGGAGAGATGGCTCAGTTGGTAGTGTGCTTCCTATGTAAGAACGAGGACCTATTTTAGCTCCAGAAACTATGCTTTAAAAAAAAAAAAAGCGAAAGTATAACAACAAAAAACAAACCCCCAAACCACCACCACCACCAAAACAGGTACAAAGACAGGCACTCCTGTAATCCCGAAGCTGAGAAGGAGGAGACAGGTGGGTCCCTGGGGCTTGCAGACCACATAATAGTCTAGGAGAATTGATGAGCACCGGGTTCACTGAGGGATCCTGTCTCAAAAATAAAGTAAAGAGTGATTGAAGAAGACACCTGCATTGATCACTGCCCATCCCCATGCATGAGTACACATTCTCATGTACATCCCCCACCAATCACACACACACACACACACACACACACACACACACACACACACACACACACACACACACTTATGAACTATTAATCTGTCCTGTCCTTCCTTCCAGTTTATGGACAGGGAGACTAGGTGTGGGGTTTGAGCCTATGTTGGTTGCATTTAATGGAAAATGAACAAACTCCAAAGACTTTTTCTCTCTTGTAAAAGAATGACTGGAGAGCTTCTTTGAGGGACAAGGGATGCCTGTACTCTGAGCTTGGGACAATATTCTAGATGAGGGGAAGTTCTTGGCATAAATGTTCCATTCAGCCGGGATTTGGAGGAGATGGGTAACTGCCCTCTGGCTTCTTTCTTTTAAGGTCCGAATACAGAGGGAACCTCTGCTTATTCTGGGGAGCCCATTTCTCCCACTGCATTTCCCAGAGCCAATGCCTGGGCTGTGTAGCCCCTGGCTGCCTCTTTCCCAATCCTTCTGTCAGCCAAGTGGCTCCCTGGATTATACCTGTGTCCCATGGACGAGCTGTCACTGGCTCAGGGACACCTGGTGAGAGCTCACCCAGGGTTCAGAACAGTGGAGAAAGGCTACAGCACAGGTCCAAGCAAGTGACAGCTGCCCACTGCACTCTAGACCAGACTAGCTACCCCCTCACTTCCCTGGATGTGCATCTTTAGTGGGTCTCCGATTACCGTTCTTGTTTCAGCCTCTTAGTCTGGAGCTCTCCATCCTTCCTCCTGGGTTCCACCCCATCCCCCGCCCCCCACCTCACAGCTAGGTTTCCTGACCCCAGCAGTCCTAGCTTCCCAGGGAACACAGAAATTCCACCAAGTCAGGGGCTTGCAAGGAATCAGGCGCAACTGGGAGTTATTTTTTCCCCCTGATCATAGTCTCATTCTGTAGTCCAGGTTGGTCTTCAACTCACAATGTCCCTGCCTTAGCCTCCGGAGTGATGGAATTTCAAGCCTGAGCCAGTATGCCCGGCCCCAGATCGTATTTCTACTTCTTATGGACTATAACTCACCCCAGGGCTGAGGCTCCACATTGTGGATGGAGCTGTTAGGGACCTACAGTAGGAGATGGAGGACAGTGGGAAGCCTGTCCTCAAGGAGTCACAGGAAGGAAAACAGGCTCCTTCGTAAAAACAAAGGAGTACCAACTGGATGCAGAGGGGTAGGTGCTTGGCTGTTTAGAGAGTGTGCCTTGAGTATGAAAGGCCCAGAAGGGTTTCTATCCCAGGAAGTGGCGTTTGACAGGAGCCAGATCAGATAGCTTAACTTGGGAAATGGGCAGCCAACCAGGGTGATGGGGTTTTTGAAAAAAAAAAAAAAAAATCTTGCCCTTCATCTGACAGATTTCTCCAAATCAGCCTCATGAAATCTGTAGCCCCATGCAGGCGGTGGTTCTAACCTCTTTCTCTTATCTCTTCATGGCCTTCCTCTCCTGTTCTCCTCCCCCAAAGGATGGTAAATCTTCAAAGAAAGAGATGTGTCACTGTAAGTATACAGCCCAAGAAAATGGGCCAGATAAATTATTAAAACAGAAAAAGACAGCAAGTGATGGGATTGGGAGCCCACAGAGGGCAAAGAGCCACTCCAGGTAGATGGTGCCCTGGTGGCAGCTAGGGAGTTCATCCTCTGAGTCCTGGACAGGTGATCCTGGCCCCACGGGGCCCACCTTCTGGCTTCTCATGCCAGGGTCAGGGGAATACATGGGCGGAAGTGTGGGGGTCTGGCAGCAGCGAAGTCCCAGGCGCCTGGTGGGGCCCTGTGTCTGGCCAGACACTTGGGATTTACTTCCCCTAAGACTCAAGCTGGTAACTACAGAGTTTTAGTCCTTGCTTTTATCTCTTTTTGAACTGCAAAGAGACGTTCCCAAGGGGCAGAGGGGATACTGTTTTCTCATGAAAGAAGAAAGCCATGACAGGTTTAAGGAAGTAACCAACGTTCTAAGCTCTGTGAGAAAGAGTTTTGCTTTGATTTCGAAGCCCCTGGCACTGGTGTGGGTGTGGGTGAGAAAGACAAGCAGGGACCCCACAGGAACTCCACTTCTGTAACAGGGGCTCTACAGGATGTTCCCTGTTAGCTCAGGACCTACGACCTGGGCCACTCTGGAGGGTCACACAGCTCTGGGTTCTTTTGTCCTTTGAGACAGGTAGATGCTCAGAGTTGCTCTTCATAGTACAGTAGCCACTGGCCACATGCAAAGGTCACTTACAGTGTGGCCCTTCCGCTTGAGATGTGCTCCAAGGGTAAAATGCACACCAGACTTTAAAGACAGTGCAAAACAAAGAACGTGACAACTTACCAAGTAGTGATGTTATTTTGGCTATAGTGGGTCAAACTAATTTCACCTGTTTCTTTTTTGACTTTTAAATTACATTTATTTATTTAGTAAGTGAGTATGTATGTGGATACTCGAGTGCCACAGCACTCATGTAGAGGTCAGGGGACAATTTTGCAGCAGATGGGCCTCTCCTGTGACCATGTGGTCTCTGGGATTGGGACAGATCCCCAGGCTTGGGGACAAGCACCTTTACCAGCTGAGCCATCCGGCTGAAACACCCGTTTCTTTGAACTTTTCAAAAATTGTGGTGTCTAAGGTTGAAGGCATAGCTCAATTGCTGAGTGCTTGCTTGCCCAGCACGACCAATGGCTTGGGTTTGAGTCCCAGAGCCCCTCCCACAAAGTGCCACCTACAAAGAGTCTAAAATGTCAAACGTAGCCCATCTGTTTCTATTGAGTAGCGCTGCACAGGGAATAGGCAAAAAAACGGTAGAACTAAGTATCCATCGTACAGATCATAAAACTGAGGCTAGCAGCAGAGACTAGCTGTAAGAGCAGGACTAATTCTTTCCCACGCTCAGGCTGCCAGATACCAGGATGAGCTTAGCGCAGGACCCCGGTGTGGCCAGCAGAGACAGCATTCTGAGGACCACAAAGGTAGGGTGGAAGCCTTCAAGTGGCCCTCCCCTTTGCAGAGACCTCCCCAGACAAAACAAACAGGCCCTTGGGGTCTGGAGAACTGCAGGGGGGAGGGGGGAACGGAAACTAAGAAAGATCAAAGACCCGGCGGTTCACCGCTCCCGGCCTCACAGCTTGGCAGCTCGCCCCGACCCCAGTTGGGCACACACGAGCCCATGGGCGAAGAGTTGCTAGCGACTGGGGGACAGCTCGGGGCATCTGGACACTTGTCGTTAACAGGAGTGGGCTGAACCCGCACTGGCCTACGAGGTGTCCTGGTGGTTTCTACCGGACTCTCAAATGAAAAAACAAAAACAAAAACAAAAAAACCCTTTAAAACCTAGAGGAGTCAAAGAAAAGGGCGTAAAGCTCCAATTTCTGCAGAAGGCTGAGCACGGGAAGTCTGGAAAGGTTCAACACCGCGGGAGAGCAGCGGACGCGTGCGACCAGGCAGCTGAGGTCACCGGTGGCGACCTCAGTTTCCCCACCTGTGAACTCGAGCCAATCGAGTATCACTCTGACGGCCCCGAGGAAGTGCAGAGAAGAGGGAAGTCGCAGTACCACCAGCGAGGGCAGCGCTGCTCCACCACGGGGCGGCCAGAGCCTCCGCCCGGTCCCCATTCCCGCCCCTAGGTCCGCGCAGGGGGCTTGGGGCCCAGCACACCCCAAGCCCCTCCCCACAAAGGCCCCGCCCCTGTCCCCGCCCACAGACCACGCCCTCTAAGGGCCCGCCCCTCGGCAGGCCCCTTACCCGCAGGCTCCGCCTCTACCCGCCCCGCAGCGTCCGCCTCGCCTTTGATGGGCCGCTGCCGGCCAATGGGCGCTTGGGGAGGCGCGGGGCCGCGGCGGCGGGCAGGGGGCTCGGCGCGCCCGGGCGTCAGTCCGGCCGCGGCGACGGCGGCAGGAGCGCGTCCCGGCGCCGCCTGGGGCTGCGCTCGGCGCGCGGACTGTGAGCAGGAGGCGAGCGGGGCTGGCGCGGGGTCGGCGGCCGGACGCATGGCTTAGGACGCCCCGCCGCCGCGCCCCAGCATGGGGAAACTTCACTCGAAGCCGGGTCAGTGTCCCCGCCCGCTCGCCCGCCGCGGCCCCGCGTCCTCCCGCCGGTGCTAACTCTCCCTCTCCTTTCTTTCCGGCTCCCGCCGCCGCCGCCGCCGCCGCCGTCGCGCGCGATGTTCCCGCAGCCGCCGTGTGCAAGCGCAGGGAGAGCCCGGAAGGTAGGAGCGCGGGCCACCGGCCGGGGTGGGGGGGCGCGAAGGAGGCGGCGCGGCCGGCCCAGCCGCTGGATCTCATTACCAGGGCTGCCCCAGCCCCCAGCCCCGCCCTGGAAGCGCTCCTTGGGGCCCCTCTGTCCCTCCTACCCGTTCCCCGCAGCCCGGTGCTCCCACTGCTGACCCTAACCCCATCCACTTTGGCGGCGTCTTCCCTTCAGACCCCCAAGATACTGCGCCTTCCTTCTGGCCACCAGCCCCTTCTCAGGAGAACTTGGCCTCTGCGCCCACTGCACCCCCTCTCCTGACCCTCAGCTCTTTCCTCCACAGTCCCTGACTCCCACGCTCCTTCCTCGGATTCCCAAACTCCTTCAGTTAGGATACTGCCTACTCGCTTTCACCCTTTGAGTCCTTGCACTTAGGATCTCGGCCGAGCCCCCTTTTTGGCTACCACCCTCTTTTGGATTCTGCTCCGTACGGCGGCGCTTGACCCTCTTGCCAAGGCTTTACTCGCTGTACCTCTCTGTCTCCCTCTCTTCATTCTCAGGTAACTTTTTGCCAGCTGGGAGGGGGGGACCCAGACTCAAGGTCTTCGTGTTCTTCCCGCCTCAGGTGACAGCTTTGCTGTGAGCGCTGCTTGGGCAAGGAAAGGCATCGAGGAGTGGATCGGGAGGCAGCGCTGTCCAGGCAGCGTCTCAGGATCCCGACAGCTGAGATTGGCAGGCACTGTTGGTCGAGGCACCCGGGTATGGTCCCACTCTGTTCCACCCTTTGAGCTTTGGAGAGGGTCTGCGCGCTCCCCCCCCCCCCCCACTTTTAGCATCCTGTTGGCACATTGTCTAGGTCCCAAAATCCCTTCTCAGTGTGCCCCACCAGCCCTACTTGTGCCCCATGCTTTGGAGGACCCTTGTTGATCAAGCTGGCACCGATCTCCTGCCCAGCTGGGCACAGAGGGTTGCTTGGGGAGGAAGTGCCAGGGAGGAGGTGATACAGGTCCAGTGGGTGGGGAAGCTGTGCTTTGTTGTGTGTGTGTGTGTGTGTGGGGGGGGGGATGGCCTCCTCTGCTTTGCTTTTGTGGCCAGCTTTTCCACAGGGAGGGGTTAGGACTAGAGGCAGGCAGGAGTGTCTGGGTAGAGGGCAGAGCTGTGCTGGCCCGGGATCTGTGGCCACCTCCAACTGTGTCTGTGGCATTCATCAGTGCCATCTGCCACCCAAGTGTAGGGTTTGGAGGCACTGAGACCTGGCTGCCCCCTTAGTGTGGCCCTCAGAGGTGGGGGTTGGGGGGGTCTGTACAGTGGTCTGGGTACACTCTCTTTCTTCACCCAGGGGGTTCTTAAGGCTAGAGTGTTTCTGCAGGAGCCAGTGGGATGGAGGAGTGAGTGAGTCCAGCCCCTGTGTCTGGCCTGGGACTGGTGTTCACAGATGTCCTGTGAGCTCCAGAACTCTGCACAGGGCTTTCAGATGGTCTGCGTGGAACTCTTGCAAGCTGAGGATCAAAGGGTGAATCAACTTTTTGATGTGACATTTAATTTTTTTTTTTTTTTTTTAACTTAGAGGGGGAACAGACCGAGCCTCAGGTCTGGTTAGTTCTTTGGTCTTGTTCTTTGGGTGAGGCTGGAGGAGTCTTCAGATGTGTGTGTGTGTGTGTGTGTGTGTGTGTGTGTGTGTGTGTGTGTGTGTGTATACACCATTGCAGGGAGGTGCTGTGTGTGTGTGTGGGTGTGTGTGGTGTGTTAAATGTACTCTCTCTGGGATAAGCTCCCTCTCTACTATGTGGCTCAGGCTGTCTCTTCCCTGGCCCTCCAGTTGGCTGGCTGGCTGCAGTTGGGGCTACTACCCCAGTAGAAGGGTCAGAACTGGGCCCAGGGGGCGGAGGTGGGCATTTGGAGCCTTTTAACAGAACCACAAACTTCCCCTTCCCCCACCATTCCTAGTTTTTGATGTACTTATTTATTTAAGGACCAATGAAAACAATCCAATTTAGACATATGAACAGATGCATTTGCAGCTCAATACAGGCCAACAGAGAGGATTTCCATTAATCAAGTTTTGTTTTTTTTTTCAGCCTGTTTATTTTCATAAAGTATTCCTGCAGAATGACATTTATTTAGGCTCTGTCTCTCTCCTCTTTCTCTCTCTCCTCTCTCTAAACTGCCAGGCAGCTTTTACTCCATGCTAGAGGGGAAACTTGAAATACAGCGAGGGCTTGCTTCAATTGACTTTTATCTTCAAAGCCATAACAAATGTTCCCCGCATGTTTTTGGTGGGTCTCCTTGGCATCCAGGCTGGGAGGATGGGAGGGAGGGGGAAGGAGGAGAGGAAAACAAAAGTCTGTCGTTTTTAATTAAATAGTAGTGTTCCCAGCAAGAGGAATGCAAGCCAGTAAAAGTTGCCATTGGGGGAAATGAAGGGGGAGGGGGCCCCTGCTTAAGCCTGTGGCTTTGCTGAAGTCACGGAATTTCGTTGCCTGGTTTCTTCCCCCAGCTGAGGACAGCATGGGATGGATGGTGCTTGCCTTCCTGCCTCACCCCCCTCTCTGAAAAGGAGGGGTCATTAATATTTGTTCAAAGTCCTTTTGAAGATGTGAGGCATAGAGCCATCAGCGTGACATGTGTTGGGTAGTTGAGGGGGTGGACCAGCCATCAAAGACGTTGAGTGGGGGGAGGGGGGCTCTGCTTCCTTGAGAGTGGATCCGAACAGATCTGGATGCCTGGGTTCCAACCTGCGGTGGTCACAGTAGTGGGGCCATGCATCGACCCTAGGAGAGGACCAGGCTGAGCCAAAGTGTGGGGCTGCACTGGCGGTGGCCTGTGGAGCAGTTCAGGTGGTCTTTAGAGGGAATGTCTTTAATCTTTATAGGTCTCTATCTTTTTTAATCAGAGAAAAATAACTGGGACATCAAACACATGATTTCACGGATGTTATCACTTAGGATGAATCAAAGTTGAAAGAGGTAGGTGAGTTCAAAGTCAATACAGGGAAAAATACTGGGTTCAAGTGGTCGTCGTTGGGAATGTAAGAACGAGTGCTGAAATGGTGGGGACACTGAGGGTGCTGGCCAGGCCACTGGTGAGCACATTTCAGTCCTGTCATTCCCCTGAATCCCACTGGCAAGGGAGGGGTGGCTGGCAGGTCCTTCCATGATATCATCAGGATGTAGATGGGTGTGGACTCTAGCAGTCTGCTAGCTTCCAGGGCTGGCAGCTTCCTGTAGCCAGTACCAGGCCTATCTTGGTGAAGGCTTCTGTGTCTACTTCTCTACCTGTCCTGTCACCAAAGTGCCTGGGGACACATTATTGGCTTATCCAATTGACAACATTATTATTGCTGTGAAATCTAGTATTGTCTGAGTGCCTGTGTGTGCCAAGCACATTGCTTCTATTACTTTAATCTCCCCATAACCCTCTGGAGTTGCAGCCAGCTGGTGTAGACTACGTTGTCTCCCTTTCCAGAGTCTGTGTGTGTGAAGCCCAGCATTGCTTGGCTCCCAGAGAGGCTGGGCTCACAGACAGTTGCCACCATGTCCACAGGAGCTAGTTGCTGGGGAGGAAGAAGCAAGAGGAGCCCTACCAGCCCCGTGTCTGTGGCAGGATCCAAATTGCATGCATAGCCCCAGGGCATGAGTGTGGCCACACAGGCACTCAACTCAGCCTACCCCCCAACATACGGAAGTGCATGAGGTCAGGCTCTGCACAGTAGCTTGTCACCTCGTGCAAGTCACTTTATGTATCTTGATAAGCACATCTATAAAATGGGCACAGTAATGTTCTCATCTGTAGCTCAAATTCTAATTGGTCTTAATAATAAAAACCCAGAATCAGATATTGGGGTAAATGCTGAAAGATCAGAGAAGTAAGGAACAGCCAAAGTCACCTCTTACCTCCACAACTCCTCAGACCAAAAAGGACTGAGCTCCTATCTCCTCTTGCCTTATATTACTGTCTCCAACTCCCTAGTGCTGGGATTAAAGGTGTGCACCACCACCACCACCACCACCACCACCACCACCACCACCACCACCACCACCACCACCACCTGACTCTGTTTCTCTTTTAGACTGGATCAATCTCCTATAGCACAGGGTGGCCTTGAACTCCTGATCTTCCTGCCTCCTCCTCCCCCCAAATGCTGGGATTATAGGTGTGTGCTACCACTGCCTGGCCTCTATGGATAACTAGTGGCTAGCTCTATCCTCTGATCTTCAGGGGAGCTTTATTTGTCAGAACACAAGCTATCACCACATTCATCCATGTCAGAGCTGAGGTAGATAAATCTTGAAAAAGAGTAGAACCTGGCCTGAGAGGGTGATATTTATGTAGGGACCCTGATATTTGTGCTCTTCCCTCTACACTCTTCCACTGTAGGCTCACCTGGTGGGACCCAGGCGAAGGTCTGGGCTTTTGCCTTTCCATGGATGCTTGATGAGGTTCAAGGGAATATAAGCTCAGAGGAGATAAGTGATGAATGATAGGAGACATAACAGCACTGAGAGCGAAGGATAGTAGACCGAGCCAAGTACATGCCCAAGACACATGTACTGAGCAGAATTCGAGGCTAAAATACACACACCTCCAAGAGAAAGTAGAAACAACACAGCAGGCAGCCAGAGAGAGCCCAGTGGCAATGCTAGGTGAGCAGTGGCTGAACGGTGACGCTCTTAGGTAGGCAGAGCAACTGAGTGGGCTCAGGCGTGAGGGGGGACGACTTGCCGTGGCCACGCTGTGAGCGTGTGTGTGGATGTGTGTAACCAGATTCAAAACAACCTTTACTCCGTGCACTGTGATCCTTTTGTTCTTTTATAGCAAAACTGCTTGCAGAAATAGGTTGGGGGCTTGGGGGCAAGCAAGCCCCCCTGTAGATCAAAGGGCTGCCAGGCACTTTGGTAATTTGATTAGGGGGCACCTAGCACATTTTGATATTTGGGGAAGAGTAGGAGGGTGCAGGCATGCTGCATAGGGTCGGGTGGGGCTGGGTGATGAGATTGGGGGCTGATCCAGCTGCTGCCTGCATTCTGGATTCCAGGGGAATTACCCTTGAATGATACCAGTTGGCACAATTAAAAGGCCCCATGTCTTCACCATATGGAAAGTGTTAGACTTCCTTACGTGGTTTCAAAGCTATGTATTGGGAGGTGGGCTTGCCTTGGTGTTTAAGAATTAAAAGATGATTTGCTTTGAGGCCGGTGGGGGTTTCAGGGTAGAGGCATGGTGCATGCCTTCAGTCACAGGCATCTTCGAGTGGCCTAGGGAGGGTCTCCTTGGCTGATGGCACTCAGGCTCAGCTTCACAGTCCTGAGAACTACCTGTGCCTGGGAGCCAGCAATGAGTGTCCTGGAAAGCCTGAGCTGTGCCAGATGCCAGACATCACTGCTGGTTGCTCCTGCTCTTGCCAAGTGGTGTTATTGGTGACGGCTGCTGTGACACATCTGTGTGACTTCTTGGAGGCACTTTAACTAGAACCTTTTCTCCCTTTAAAACTTCTTTAAGAAGGAGACTGGGTTTCCTCGAGCCAGGCCATATGTGCTGTCTGTCTCCTGCAAGCCAGGGGTGTGCATCTCCATTCACAATCCAGACAGCATAGCTTGCCGGTGGCTAGGAGTAGAACCAGGGGCTGTTACTTCCTTGCCTAGTGGGAGGAGGAGAGGAGATGGGGTGGTGAGAGTGCCTCTGTTTGTACCGGGAAGCTCACCTCCCCCATCAGGGACCACCTGTCTTCTTGGACACTTCAAATGGTCAAAGTTGAGCTG